ATGTATAGTGGACAGAGAGCGAAAGTGGGTGAGTTACGAGAAAGAGAGAGAGAGGAAAAATGGAGACTGGATGAGCTACGAGAGAGAGAATTAGCTTGGAAGAGAAAGGAGGGGGGAGAGAGAATAATAACTGAAGAGAGAGAGCCAGAAATGAAGAGGGAAGAGAGAGAGAGGCGACCTGACGAGGTGGACCATCAGTTCTCTGATCACCAGGCAGCTCGCGCACGAACGAATTGTCCCAATTAAGATCCTCAAGACTCCTCCTCATAGCCATGGCCGGAGATTTGGAGGGACTGCATTTTCTGGCATCTTCCATGCCCGAAATTTCGACCCTCTCTGCAAATTCCGTCGAAAGGTTGTCGGAATCAAGCGACATGGCTTTGCATAACACCCTAGGATTAGATCGAGGGAGGAGAGAGAGAACGCGCGGTTTTAGAGAGAGAAAGGGAGAGAGGGTCAAGCGAGGAGAGGAGAAGGCTAATATCTGGTTCAGCATAGCTGCGACGCCTGGGGATTTCAATGCGAGCCCTTTTTTCTCTCTCTAAAGTTGGTCAAAAAATACGCACCTCCTCTCTCTCTCTTCATTACAATTCCGTACTTTATTTAGAGAGAGAAAATATGCATCAAATGGATAAAGTCCAATCTTTCTAAGAGTATTTCTTTGGGCCCCAATTATTTTTGCACAACTAAGCTCTTCAAAGTAGAGATTAGAGACCAATTTTGAAATAATACAAAATTTAAAGGAAGAAGTTTCTGTAAGGCCTAGGCTTTGTAAAAATAAAGTAAAGCTTCACCTTGAATCTTTGCTCGGAAATCACTTTGAACATTAGAAATTTATGAGGTAACTCTAAAATCAATATTCAATACCAACTATGAAATTTGAAGATTAAAACATGGTGCAGAACTTACGGATCCGTGAACACTTACTTTTAGGGTGAAATGGATAGTTTAGATAATTTATTAAAATATATACTATTTTTAAGATTTGAAATCTTTTTTTTTTATTAACATAATTTTCAAAGTTGATATGATGGATTTTAAGATTTTTCAATGTCAGAATTGCAATTTCCGATGAGTTTTGAGGTGAGGCTTTACTTATTATGAAATGGTTGTAGCCCTATCAAACTATTTTCTATTTTATAATATAATACATCCAAATATTAAAGAAAAAAAAGTTATATAAGGTATTATTCATATACTATTGAAGTAAGATAAACCTTAAAAATCATCGATAAGAGAAACATTTGAAACCCTCCAATTGATTAACTCGACCTTGAGATGTATGGATGTTAAGAAAAACAATTTTAAGATTTTAAAAAAATATATATTATAACAATTTTTTTGTTTTTAAAGACATGTCTAACAAGTTATTGATCAATATTATAATATTATAACAAGTTATTGTACCATTTAAAAATTTTAAATTTCATGGTTAGGGAACACGATATATTTTCTAATCATCATGAGGTTTGGATACTATCTATATGAAATTTAGAGATGTTCCTTACTTCAATAGTATAAGGAGGGAACCTTATATAAAGGGCGCCTTATATAAACCTGACTTAGGACAAAAATAGAGAGTATCTAATTTCTACGTATATAAATTAAAGAGCAAGAGCTCCAAATTTCTTACCGTTAAAAAATAAGAGCTCAAAATTTCTTAAAATAATCAATTTTAGATGGAAAAAGGTTTACGTAGGCCGCCCTTTGTTTGCGACGGAAGTGCGGTTATGCACCCGCAAGAGCATGCTAAAAATAGTACTCGTTTCAATGGGAAGTTATTTGAGGTTTGGAATGGAATATTCAATGAAGAAAATTTGTTTCATGCTGTGGGGACCGCATTTTTATATTTATGGTCCCCGAGATACAAAGCATTCATTTTAAATATAGATGCAAATAGGTGGTTCCTCTAAAACAATTGAAGCTAACCATCTAAATGTTTTTTTCAACAAAATAATTATTTTTAGTTTTCAAAATTTATTTATTTATTCATATTCATGATCTCCATATTAGAGATTACATGTCTTTAAAGATTAGATCCAAAAATCCATCTCAAAAATAGATTTTTAAGAAGTGACTTTCTACATGGCCTCGTAGAAACCGTGTCTTTTAAAGAAATATATAGACTATAAATAAAAAAATAAAACATAACAAATTGGTCTATCTTTTTTATAATTTCCGCCTATAAATAGAGTATTTCGTATTTTCGAAAAAAAAAATTGAATCCCTACTTAATCACTCAAAATAAATAGAAAGCCGAACACCCTCTCTCTCTCTAAAATATGGTTAGCTCGCCTATTCAAATACGATGTTATTTTGAAAGCTGAACACCCTCTCTCTCTCTAAAATATGGTGAGCTCGCGTATTCAAAGATAATGAAGGTCCAACCTGTTCCAAACGCCTCATAATTGCATTGAAGTTTGGTCCAAGCCGTGAAACCAAAAAAGCCCGAGCCCCTCTCTCTCTCTCTAGAAGCCCGAGCCCCTCTCTCTCTCTCATGTGGTTAGCTCGCTCATTCAAAGATAATGAAGGTTCAACCTTTTCTTGACGCCTCAATAATTAGTTTAACAATGGGCCCAAACCTTGAAGCCAGAAGCCCAAGCCCAAACACACTGGCAGCTAAATGTTACAATTAAATTAATTTGTGCGACGATTTATAGATTTCTCATTGATCTCGTGACTGTTACAAATTAATTTCATTTCAATTGTCTTGCCCAAACTCACTAGTGGTCAAAGGATGAGGTTTGTATAAGGCCTAGGCTTTTGGAAAACAAAATAAAGCATGATCTTAAATTCTCATAAAAAAAAGTACATTATCAATTTCTAATACCGATAATAAAATTTAAAACTCAAAAAATGATACATTTGTGACATGACATTTGCATCATTTTTTATGACATGATATACTAGCAAATAAAAATTAAGGGAAAGTATTTTGTATGGCAACACCTTTATACAAGTAGTACATCAAAAATCCCAAGAACATGCAATCATTATAGAGGAAATTAAGCCAATCATCTTGATCTCAATGATCATGGATTTAAAAAAGATACATTTTAAACCCTAAAGCTAGTATCTCTTGTACTAGTTACTCCCAAACAATGCTATTATTCTACAAGAAATTAAGCCGATAATCTTAATCTCAACAATCATAAATTTAAAAAAGATACCTTTCATACCTTAAAAATAGTCTCCCTTGTACCAGTTTTAACATCCATCGTTTCAAATTGTCACACACCCCTACATATGCATTATTTTTAACCTTCAAATTCCATATTCAAAGGCAAAGATAGATTTGCATGCCGTCTCATGAACTTTTGATGGCAAAACGGCATTTTTGAGCGGGATGTAGCTCTACAAAATATGATAAAGCCGCAGTCATAAGAAAAATACAACATAAAATAAAATGCTCTATGTGGGACCTCAATTGATAAAGATTTAAGCATGATATGCATAAGCATTTAAATAATTGTTGAGTATTTGAATGGACAATGACCTTGTATTTGTTAAGGTTCAAGAAATAAGGAGTTTCAAAGTTCAAAATTTTTGCCCCACTCTAATGCAGAAATGTTTTGTCATCTTTTGTGGTGGGCAAGTACGTGTCTACTACACCCAAATAAAAGAAATATGTGTTTATTTATTATATGACAAAATTCACCATTCATAGCACGTGGTACAACCTTGTATCCTACATCATTGTTTTCCTAAACCATATTATTATTATTATTATTATTATTTATGGAAAAAAATTATACAAGGTTGCAACCTTAAAATGTAGAATTGCAAATACACCTAAAAAATCCGTCAAAAAATGTTGTTTTAGTGCTGAAAAACCTCATAATTGATCATCTTGATATCGAGATATAAAATATGAACAAAAATAAGATTTTGAATACAAGAAGTAGTGTATCTTACGCACATTGTCTAGACCGTCAATTTTCAAGATTTTCATATGTTTATAGATCTACTTGATTTTAGCTATTTTTGGAGTTTAAAATTTTATAATTAGATATGAAAATAAATTTTGAGGTAATCTTATGATTTTTTTACACCAAAATTACATATTATGATAAAATTTGGAGGTGCGTCTTAATTGGATAGTTTAAGGTTGAACCTTATAGAAACCACACCTCATTATGCATAGATATGTTTTTTTATTGGGAAAAGTTTATATAAGGTTGCAACCTTTAAATGTAGAATCATAGATGCACCTAAAAATATACCAACCATGTTGTTTTAATGTTAAAAAAGCCCTCTAATCAATCATCTCAACATCGAGATATATGAATATGAAAAAAAAAAAAAAGTTCTTGACTCTCGGAAACAGTGCATCTTGCAACACATTATCTAGACCGTCCACTTTCAAGATTTTTATATATTTATAGATCTACTCGATTTTTACCATTTTTTTAATCTAAAATTTTCTAATTAGGTATGAAAATAGATTTTACGATAATATTAAGAATTTTTTATAGCAAAATTACATTTTATGATAAAATTTTAAGGTGCACCTTAATTGACTTGTTCAAGGTTGCAACCTTATAGAAACCACACCTTTTTTTATTTTTTATTATCATGAAAAGTTTAGATAACGTTTTACGTTAGCTTCCTACTTAACCCAACTCGTATCCTTGTTAAGAGAAATTTAAAATCCCCACCTTTATTATAACATGTGGGATTGTATACAATAAGACCATCTATCTTTGATACAAGGATGTCATAATTATTTATAATCATCTAATGTGATCTGATAGCTAGGGTGTATCACAAAGTTTGATAAAATTTATTTTGAACTTTGAGCTTGGTCATTGGAATAAATACAACCACCCAATTTCACATCCAATGATCAAGATTAATTATGACCACCTTGTACCAATGGCAAATGATTTAATTGTATACTTTTTTTTTTTCTTTTTTAAGTAGACTAGTGGGGAATACAGGCCCCTATCCATTGTTCGAAATAATTAATAGTTTTCGAATGCGTCAATGGGAATAGAAACCTTGACCGGTAGCTGAGGTTCAAGAAGTGCTACCACCACGACCTCAACCCCATTCCCAAAAGTGGTAAAGACAATGGGGGATTTGTGTCCCCTACCATTTGGTAAGAATGAAGTCAGAGACTTTACTATGGGGCTCGACAATACTACCGCTAAGGCTCCAGGTCATTCTTGATCTCATTGTATAGTTTTCCAAAACATATTACCATATGAAAATATTTTTAAACATTCGTTGTGAAAATTATGACTAGCATACCCTTAGAACAGGCCTTCTCTTTTTCCACGCTTATCCAGCTATGAAAAAATCGGATAGGTACTAAACACCTCATGCCAATAAGACCAAGGTAAAAGCGACATGACCAAAACCCACTGGTGAAATACAGTGCCAAGAAAATGAGGGGAAAGGTCGAAAAGGTCATGAGAGAGAAAACCCAAATTACAAATCAAAATAATATAAAGAGAACCCATTGTTAGGTGGCTTATCACAACATCGTGTGATTTTTATTTTTAAAAAGCCATATAAAAGAACGAAAAAGTTTATATAAGGTTGCAACCTTAT